TATCAGTCTATCTATCAGCCTATCTGTCTGTCTGTCTATCTATCTATCTATCTATCTATCTGTCTGTGTCTGTCTGTCTGTCTAATTATCTATCTATCTATCAGTCTATCTATCAGTCTATCTATCAGTCTATCTATCTGTCTGCCTGTCTGTCTATCTATCTATCTATCTATCTATCTATCTATCTGTCTGTCTGTCTATCTATCTATCTATCTATCTATCTATCTATCTGTCTGTCTGTCTGTCTAATTATCTATCTATCTATCTATCTATCTATCTATCTTCTATCATCTATCTATCAGTCTATATCTAGTCTATCTATCATCTATCAGTACTATCATCATCATCTGTCTGTCTGTCTATCTATCTGTCTATCTACTATCTATCTATCTATAAGGTGGAGGAACCTGCCAATCTTATGTCTTAGGTGCGGTGTGGTGTAAACATGTGTAAACATGTTAAATTAATTAATTAATTGATGAGAGATTCTTGCAGGTCATAGTCAGGTTAGACCATCTGTTCTGTCCCCACTTAAAGGTTTAAATTCATTTCTAATAAAGAAAATATTTTCGTTGGCATTTGAGATTTTTTTTGAATGGTCAGAAATCTGGCCTGGCTTCCAAGCGAGAAGCCTCAGCCCCCCAACTCCCCCCCCGCCCGTAGCTTTGCCCCTCGTGCCCACATGTGCATGTGTATCACGGGCTCTTGGTATGTGACAGCCTGAGTTGATGATGGATGGTGTCACACGATACACACTTCACCAAGTGTGTGTGTGATACTTCCTTCACTGTGTGTGTGGGGGCATATTACTCACTTCATCGTGTGTGTTTCAATGTGAATGATATTCAGTCCACCGTGAACGTTTAGGCCCACTTACTTGGAATCCAGCCCACCTCTTCAACCCCCCAACCTTTTCTGACAGCTAAAATCATCTGATACCACTGATAATGTTACTAAACCCAAAGGTGCTAAGCTCTTGCTTCGTCATGCCTTTATTTCCAACTCAAATAAATAAAAATGAGGCCAAAACTTTCCTTTGATTGGCGGTTTTTGGCGGCCACATCACCACGGCAACGTTTACCAGACTGCATGTTGCCATTGGTTATGTACTTTTAGTGCCATCGCTGTTTTACACCAAATCTGCAATTCTACAATGAGGCTTTTCTTCAATGCCAGCATGTGAAATCTGCCTTGCCCTCCTCAACAGGTAGTGAGGACTTAGCTGAGCTGTTTCAGTTCCTGCGAAGGTCACTACTTATCTAGCTAGTGGACTAGGTGAGTGGTAAAGTTGACCGAAAACAATGTGGCTGAAAAAATGACCAAAAATCAACCATTCGCCCCAGACGTCTACGCCTAGCGCGGGAAGCGCAATCCGCCGAAGCCTCTAATCACAGTAATATGAAACTGATGTATAAAGAAGTAAAAAGTGTAAAGAAAAGAGACTCTCGGGCTCCCGAGTGGCGCAAGCGCCTAAGCGTTGGCCCTCATCAGGAGATTGCAAGTGTGATCCCTGGGGATGCTACAGCCGTCCGTAGCCGGGAGTCCGAGAGAGCACAATTGGCCTCGCTCTCTCTGGGTGGGTAGGATGGCCCCCCCTTTCTCCCCCATCACTCAAAGTGATGCTAGTCAGCGCAGGCGTCTGTTAGCTGACGTAACAGATCTGGCGGTTGGCGCTTTCCTCCGAGCGCGTTCGGCTGTCCAGTGACGTTGCGTGAGCGGCAGCTCGAAAAGATGTGGTGAATCTTCACAGGTCTCGAAGGAAGCCTGTGTTAGCCTTCACCCTCCTAGCGTTGATAGTATTGTGTGATCTGGGGAGTCCTAACTAGCGGGTGGAATCGGAGACGACTAAAATGGGGAGAAAATTGGGTAAAAAATGTGAAAAGAAAAAAAAGAGACTTTTGACCTCAACTAAACAGACCAGACTTTCATTTTACTCATAAAGCCGGCTGTTTTGAACTGTTTATACTGACTAGTTTCTGTGTTTTTTTAAACAGCATTAGCTGTTCATAATGTGTGTGTTTACACGCACTCATTAATCTGATCATAATTGGATTTCTGCAGTTATCTGATTATCCAAACGGTCATGTAAACAGCACATTCTGATTTCTTAGATCGGAGAAAGGTCTAGAAATCCAATAAAGAGTATGGATTTTAGCTCAGTAATCAGATTTCTCAGTGCATGTAAGCTCTTACTCTGATTTCTTTCGTATTTCTCAGTCTGAGCATGTGTGAAAACAGATGGCGGTACCGGAAATAAGCGAGCAGCGTCGCCGCGAGACGCAGCAAAACACCTTTGGACTCTTGCACTGCAAAAAATAGTATCTTGTCAAGTGAAATTATCTTAATTCTAGTTGATATATCTAATATTTCTTATTTTGAGATGGTTGTGCACATATTATAAGATTATTTAGCTTATTTTTAGACATTTTTTACTTGTTTTAAGTCATTTTATTAAGTAAAATTATCTCACTGTACTGGCAGATCATTTAGCTGGTTTTAAGCTAATTTCTTACATCAAGCAAAATTATCTGCCAATATTCTGAGACAATTTTCTTGATAAAATTACTTAAAACAAGTTAAAAATGTTTGAAAATAAGTTAAATAATCTTAAAACAAGCTTACAACAGGAGAATTATTGGTAACACTTCATTTGGATAGTCCACTTTAGATACTTGATTTACTTTTAAGTTACATTCAACTAAATATCTACTAAATTGACCATAATTGTCTTTGACCGGCTCTAATCCTAACTTTAACCTTAACCTCAACCAAAACCTAAACCCAACCCCTGCCCTGGTCCTAGCCCTAGGCCTGGTCCAAATCCCTAATCCCACCACTGTTTAGAATTAACTGAGTTTCAACAGACAGTTTATTAACAATTTGAACATCTGTAGATAATCTATAGTGGACTATCCAAATAAAGCGAGACTGAATTATTAGATTTTTCGACTAGGTTTAAGATAATTTTACTTGTCAAGATTCTATTTTTTGCAGTGTATTGTCTGAATCCACACATTATAACAGTAATAAAGGCTCTGATTAGCCTCAGTTCATCAAGTGGCTCCTCTGTCTCTGCAGTTCACCTTTACATCGCAGAAGATCTCACACCATAGAACTGCCCAACATTATATGAAAATCAGGGCCCCTTATCACTCTAAAGCCTAATCAGAGGACTAAAGATTGACTCGTTTCTCTTCTTACACTAACAAATATGTGTAATTGATCTGTCTATTGATTCTGGTCGAGTTCCTGACCTGGATAATCACTTCAGCTTGTGAAAAGTGTTGGAAGAGGCAAAGTGGGGTTAAAGTCAGGCTAAAGTGTGTGTAGTGTGGGCCCAGCTTCATTTAGAAGCAGTGTTATGATTGTATTTTATGCAGGAAGCAATAAGTAAAGTAATCTGATGTGTTTATATGAATTTATTTTGTTTTGTTTTCTGTAAAGTGCCTTCTTGAGTTGATGCGGTCATAAAAGTGTGCTATATAAATAAAATTATATCACTGGAAGTGCAACCTGTCGAAGCCTCTCATCACAGTAACATGAAATTGATGCATAAAGAAATACAAAGTATAAAGAAGAGAGACTCTCAAGCTCAACTAAACAGAACAGGCATACATTTTATTCACAAAGCCGGCTGTTTTGAACTGTTTATACTGACTAGTTACTGGGTTTTCTGTTCATAATGTTAATCGTCAGAACTGGCGGTCTTGTTTAAAGGCAGCGAGATGGACAGGCCAGTTTAGCCTCTTATGCTCGTGGGTATATTTCGGTTTTTCCATCTGAATTTACATGCCCAAATCATAAGGCAAATTATTCAGTAACTGCATGAAATAACTGTTCTTTTTGTAAAAGCTCCCCTCAAATTAACAGAACGTGTTTTATGATCACACATATCGCTATATGCTTACAATTTACTGCTGAAAGCCAAAAATCTGAGACGCTCTTTGTATTATTTTATAAAAATAATGTTTACAGAGCAGATCACTGAAGAGACGCCGTCTGTTTATAGTTTATAGCTCAGATTTGTGGAAAAATGGGTCGACTTTCAGTAGACAAAAAAATGAGTTCAGCTTCTTTTAATATAAAATTTTAAAACTACATCACTCATCTATTTGACTGGAAAGAAGACAGTTACAGCTCTCATACGACCCCCACCTTTAGAATGTAGCTTATGAAATATGAAAGTTATGAAGTAAAGAATATGACTAGGTGTGTTTTCCAAGGAGTTAAAGAGGTTAGGAGATTATTTTCTGCAAAAAGTAAAGTAATTTGATGTGTTTATATGATTGTTTGTTTTCTGTAAAGTGCCTTCTTCAGTTGATGCTCTCAAGAAAGTGTGCTATATAAATAAAATGTATTATTATTATTATTATTATTATTATTATGATGTCCTGTCTTGCTCTGTCCTTGTCTTTCTCTGTTTTAGCCTTCCCTGTATTACTCTGCCATGTGCTTATGTTTACAACTGCCATGTGCCTTTGTTTGTTTTGGTTTGCAGCTCCGCCCTTGTCACACCCCTCACTTGTGTCGTGTGTTTAGATCCTCCCAGTAACCACTCCCAGGTGTTTCTTGTTCGTGTTCTCAGAGTGTGTATATATACCCTTTGTTTCAGTCTGGCATCAAATGTGAATGTGTGTGTTTGTTCTGGGTTGTTCATTGATTAGTTGTAGTTTTGTTGTTATGCTGTTGTTTTAGTTTTAACCTCGTAGTTCTGTTTCATCACTTGTTTGTTTTTCTTGTGCGCTTGTTTTTCCTGCATATTGCTCCTGTCTTTGCCATGGACTGTAATAAAACCAACTTGCACTTGCATCCAGCTTCATCTCCTGCTCGATTTTTTTTTCATGACTAGTAATTAAATGTTATTCTCACAATAGCAATGAGTCTGGGGCATACTGCTTCCTAGCTGCCCCCCCCCAAACTTTAACCAGCCCCCCGCCCAGTGAGGTTCTGGCGATGACACTGGTGTGTGATGCTCGCTATATTGTTTATTATATACTCACTTGACTGTGCGTGTGTTTTGCGCTGCAGTGGGTGGGATGATCAGGTTGAACACAACATCAAGCGCTCGGTTCTGACCCAGCAGAGTTGCCGTGGAAACTGCACAAAAAAACCCAGACATATATGACAGTTAGCATAATTACTGTACATTCATATGCAGTACTGCAGTCACAGCAGAGCCTGTGCCTGTGCCAGCCTCCGGGGGGATTCACACAGCCTACAGATATCCAAACCGGCCGACGTAAACAAGACACACGCACACACATGATATTTCTGCTATTTATATAGCAACATAAAAACTGACAGTGAGGCTCATCACATTTCAGCGGCGGATTGATTTCAGCTTTTATGATAAGTAAAAAAGGGAAACTTTTGGACGCCGTTTCTGCTGATAAGTGAGGGGAGCGTTAGTAAGAGGAAAAACAGAGCCTGGAATACAAACACAACGGCACAGAGTTACAAATCAGCAAAACAAACACAGCCGAAATGAATCCAAATAAAGAAAAATACAGATTCCCATTTTAAAGCAATGCGGTTATCTCTCATTCGCTGGTAAAAATAAACACTGATAACAAATCAAAGTCTGAGCTGCGGTGCGAATGGAGACGGCGGGCAAGCGTCTGTCTGAATATGAACAATGTGGATAAGGGGACACAACCTAGAACATTTTATTATTTTTTGTTTTTTCGCTACATCATTTGAAAGTATTTAAGCAAGATTAATATTTTTATACATTTCTGCATCAAAGGAAAACAAAACTTTCTTTTATCCACCTCCCGTTTGTGAACAATTCGTTCGAAAGCAGCTTGAGTGCAAACGTTACAACCTACAGGGTGAACAGTAACAGACCAGGGCAAATCGATAAAAACACAATTAATTCTAGTGATGCATTTTGTTCAGACCGAGTACGAGTACATATTTTAGTACTCTCTGATCCAATACCTTACTGAGTAACCTACTTAGAATAAAGTAGCTGTAAATGAGTGCGATGGACCTTTAAAAGTGAAATAATTATAATCCACATTCTTAAAAAAGATGTTCTGTTGCTTTATACGCAAACTGAGGGTGAATATGGGGGGTCAATAATGCTGATATGACAGTGAGAACTGGAAAATATTTCACTACAAACTGGCACATGGAAAAAAAATGGTATGTTGGCAAGCGAATTGTCTTAAATCAAGTTAATATACCTAAAATTTCTCATTATTTCCTAATATTTCAGATTGTGGTAAACTTATTATAAGATTGTTTACCTTCTTTTGAGAAATTCTGTGTTTGTTTTAAGTGATAAGCTTGAAACAAGCCAAATTATCTGATCGAGTAGCGCTGCAGTGGAGAAGAGCGGGTCAGAAAAGCTCTTCTGTGCAGATGTAAGTAAAGTAGCTTTCATAGTTTTGATCCTCATTTGTCTCTTTCAGCAGCAGCACAACGACAGCAGGAATCACATCTGAGCAGCGCTGCTAACACTGCGCAATGAAGCTATAAGCAGGTGATAATGTACACGGTAGGGCAGTACAGTCTCTCTACAGACTATTTTTCATTAATAAATCACGGTATTAATGTTTAATTGTAATTGAAACAGAAATGTAAACAGAGTAAAGTCAGTGGATGTGGACTTTGGTAGCAAACTTTTTCGCCTCCGTTTAGCTGACCTACGAGTCTCCACCTGTACTGGGGGAGAGGTTGTGTTTGTGACTGTGTGTGTTTATAAATGGGCTAAAATCACACAGTGTATTCCAGGCAGGAATCTGCCAAGGCAGAACATTTGAAGTGACCAGTGACTTTGTGTCCGACTGTCACAGAGTCAGTAACACTTCACTGTGTGAGCAGAGCCTCCTTTACGGCGTTTGTTCATTAGTGTGGCAGCTATTCTCAGCTTACGTCACACAGTATCAGAATGTTGGTATCAGTGAATTTTTATGAATAGAATAGATAAGCAAAGAATCAGACCGATACCCGATACTAGTATTGGTACTGATGCATACCTAATTTATTCAATACAAATCCACATTGTTTGAGCCAAATGAGCTGAAAAATACATCAAAATCAATATGTTAAGCGTCAAACACCGGCAAATTAGTTTTTGACCACAAAATAGAACAGCAAAAATTTTAGCATGATAAAACTGAGATTGTATTTAAATCTATGGTACATTTCTCACATCTGTGAATAAAGATCTTTTAAAAAATGAAGTTTTGAATGTATATGTGGGGAGATAGAGACCTCTCATTGTTTACTTTGTGTGTCTTAGTTTGTAACCGCATGTAAAATTAAATTAAACAAATTTAATTATGCATTTTAATTAATGTGAAAATAAATTCAATTAAAAGTTTCTTTTACAGTAAAAATGGTAAATGTGGAGAAATATGCTAAAAATTCAAAGATAACGTTGCTCTGACAATATAAGATGACGACCAACAGCATATACACTTACTTAATAAATAACATTTATTCAAACCTGCTTAACTACACTCTTTAAAAAAGGTTCTTTATATAGAAAAATGAGAAAAACCATTTGCATGATTAAATGATACTTTGCATGGTGAAATGGAGAATGTGTTGTATATGGTTCTATACAGGGCTAAAGGGTTAAAAAATAGTACCAAAAGGATTCTGTATAGAACCATAGATAACACATTCTCCAGCAATCTGAAGAACCATTTCACCATGCAAAGAACCATTTAAGCATACAAAGGGTTCTCTGAGTGTTCATAGTTCTGGATAAAACCATTGTCTTTACTAAAGAACCCTTAAAGAACCATCTTTTTAAGAGTGTTTATTTGTAATCATAATGTGGAATAACCTTGAATGCTAAATGCAAAGAAAAAACCCTAATGTTGATAAAAATTCCCACAGTGCTGAATTCAGTCCTGCAGTGAAAAAAGTCTCAGTGATTCCGACATACAGTAGTTAATTCCTACAGTACCAGGTTCACTCATAGTGTTTCATTTGCAGGTCTTAACTCAGCACAGTAAGGGTGAACTCAATACTGTAGGTGTTAATTACTGTGTGTCAGTATCACTCAGACTTGTTTTGCCACTGAACTTGAACTTGACCTCCTATTTTGGGGAAGAGAGGTGACATGTTCCACATATAAGTCAGTCATTTTCCTCTAGAGAGTCTAAATAACCACAGAGGTGAAAAGAACACAGAAACAACAAACCTCGAATCAGCAGATCATCGCAGACTCACCGGAGGAGCAGTAGACCCTGATGACCCACAGACAGGCAGCAGCTCTTCTGGAGTTCTTCACGTTGTGGCGTAGAAGTCCGAGCGTAACCAAAACCGCATCAGCCTTTTCTGCCTTCACGCCAATCTTCCGGTCTGAGAGACAGAAGAACACAGCAAATTAATTAGTACTGCTTTATACAGGGCTTCCATTCAGTGGCCACTTTATTAGAAACACCTAGCTGGTACTGCCAACACTGGCCACTTTATTAGAAACACCTAGCTTGTACTTCCAACACTGGCCACTTTATTAGAAACACCTACTTTGTGCTTCCGCTAACTGGCCACTTTATTAGAAACACCTAGCTTGTACTTCCACTAACTGGTCACTTCTTAGAGACACCTACCTTGTACGTCCACTAAATGGCCACTTTATTAGAAACACCTAGCTTGTACTTCCACTAACTGGTCACTTCTTAGAGACACCTACCTTGTACGTCCACTAAATGGCCACTTTATTAGAAACACCTAGCTTGTACTGCCAACACTGGCCACTTTATTAGAAACACCTAGCTTGTACTTCCAACACTGGCCACTTTATTAGAAACACCTAGCTTGTACTTCCAACACTGGCCACTTTATTAGAAACACCTACTTTGTGCTTCCGCTAACTGGCCACTTTATTAGAAACACCTAGCTTGTACTTCCACTAACTGGTCACTTCTTAGAGACACCTACCTTGTACGTCCACTAAATGGCCACTTTATTAGAAACACCTAGCTTGTACTTCCACTAACTGGTCACTTCTTAGAGACACCTACCTTGTACGTCCACTAAATGGCCACTTTATTAGAAACACCTAGCTTCTACTTCCACTAACTGGCCACTTTACTGTAAACACTTACCTTGTACTTCCACTAAATGGCCGCTTTACTGTAAACACCTACCTTGTACTTCCACTAACTGGCCACTTTATTAGAAACACCAACCTTGTGGACACTTTATTAGAAACACCAACCTTGTGCTTCCACTAACTGGCCACTTTATTAGAAACACCAACCTAGTGCTTCCACTAACTGGCCATTAGAAACACCTATTTAGTGCTTCCCCTAACTGGCCACTTTATTAGAAACATCAACCGTATGTCTCTACTATGCTGGTTTACAGTTACAGACTGCAGCCCAGTGTCACTGCTAGGCTGAGAGTGGTCCACCACCCAAAAATGTCCAGAGAGCAGCTCTGTGGTCAGAGACTGACCAAAGATGAAGGACTAGAGGATGGCTAACACAAACTGTGCACCAACACATGAGCCGCAGTTTCTAACTGTACACCAGCAAGGAGGAGCTACAAAGGAGGGGTTTCTGATAAAGTGGACAGTTTAACTCGGGGAGCGTAACTGGCAGATGATCAGATTTTTGTCCTTCAGCTCCTCCTGCTTGGGCTCAAGGACAGAAGGGAATCCCAGGAATCACTCTCACGTCTTAAGTTACCCGAGAGTCTGAGCGCCGTGGCGTTACTAAACACTGGACATGCGAAGAATGCTTAGATCATGACGTCTGACCTCAGGGGCCTGAGGCCTTTCTCCTGACCTCTCAGTAAAGCGGCCCTGTCCACTGTAATACTGTCTGCACTTGGCAATGGAGTTGTGACTTTGCCTGGTGTTGTATTACTGATCCTGGCAGCGCTGCAGTCGCAGCTCTCCGCGGGTTTTATTGAGCTGCCTGCTGAGCAGAACGCTGCTGTTCAAATGAATGGATTTCATTTTCAGCTAGTTAGAGGTAAGTGGGCAGACAATCAGGAGGAGTACAGTACGTACAAAGGTCTAGATTTTCCCAGCACGTGTGTTTGGTGAATTGATGTGGTGTTTCTGCTTCCTCAGGCATATCTAACACATACACACACACACATACACACACACACACACACACCAGCAGGGTGTATTACTCTCTGCTTATTCTTCATCTACAAATCATCACTCATTCGCTCATTTCTCTCTCTATTTCTCTCTGTACTGTGGAATAAAGCTGGTCTGTAAATTCTGCAGCTGGGATTCCTGCTGTTTCAGGTCGGCAGACTCTTCTAACATGTTTACTTTTGATAGATCAGTCGCAGAAAACTCTAAACTTTAGATTTATTATTTAAGGCTTCAGGCTTAATATTCAGTAACTGCATCTAAAAATTATTCCGTCTCTGCTATGAATCATTCACTAACTACTATGAAGTATTTCTGTATCTAATATTCTGTAACTACTACAAAATCTTAAGCATCTACTATAGATTATTCAGTAAATACTGCTGAGTAACTATGAATTCTTCAGTATCTACTATGAATTAATTCACTATGAAATATTCAGTATCGATTATGAATTACCTAGTAAATACTATGAATCATTCAGTATACTCTATGAATTATTCAGTAAATACTGTCGAGTAACTATGAATTATTCAATACTTCCTACAAATTATACAGTATCCACTACGAATTATTCTGTATTCATTATGAATTATTCAGTATCTACTATGAATAATTCTGTAGCTACTATAAATTACTCAGTACATACTACGGATTACTCAGTGTCTACTACAAACTATTCAATATCTACTACAAATTATTCAATATATACAATAAATTATTTGGTATCTACTATGAATTATTCAGTGCACACTACAAATTGTTCAGTATCTACTACGAATTATTCAGTAGATACTACAAATTATTCAGTATCTACTATGAATTACTCAGTACATACTACTGATTACTCAGTATCTACTACAAATTATTCACTATACACTAAGAATTATTCAGTATATACAATAAATTATTTAGAATCTACTATGAATTATTCAGTATATACTACAAATTATTCAGTATTTTCTGTGAATTATTCAGTACATACTACAAATTATTCAGTATCTACTATGAATTATTCAGCACCTACGATTAGTCTCTGCTCTGTCTGCCATAATTCACAGTAGTTACTCAATAAATTATTCCCACTATGTTCCACGTGATTGGCTGCTCGTGATGTGATCATACTTTCATGTACTCCTGCATAAGGATTAATCACCGTGTGATTATCTACACCTGGGTTAACAGAGAAAGTTGTTAATCCCTGACATAAAGCGTTTGTTAGGTTTTATGAAGCTGAAAACTGATCAGGAACCCTGTCTAAGTTGAAGGTGGTTCATAAGACTGACCCCAGATCAGGGTGGGATCATGACCAAAGCAGCAGCTGACCTTCCTCCCCTCTCTGCTTCGTTTTTCTACCTCTCCTCTCCATGTCTCACCTCTGTGGCCCACTTTGGCGAGCAGGTGCAGTATGGGCAGCAGGAGTGTGTAGTTCGGGCTGTAGGATCTGGCCGTGTTCACCAGCGCCATCAGGAGAGCCTCACTGCCCCCTTTAGAGATCATGTAGTGGATCCGTCTGTCTGTGCCTGAAGCAGCCAGAGCAGAGAAGAAAAACAACCACAATCATCGGTCATAATCATTTTCTCAGAAATTGGGAAAAATCTGGGTTTAATAAGATCCAGCCCAACGCCAAAAAGGCCCTGTCATCTCCGCCACAGGTGCTGCTTTTTAATAATCCGCCACGGTAATGACGTCCCGGCTTATTTTCTGCTTTCTTCTGGCGTTTTCAAAGTTTCAGCAGAGGGAGAACTTCGTGATTAGAGCGAGGCCGATGCTGGAGGCGGGCGAATAACTCCGACTAATTACTTTATGGTAAATTAATTTCAGATTAGAGGATTAGTATCATGTCACTCCTCCCGTACAAGCGCATTCAGTCATTCAGTCATTGATATTTAAATCCCTGTCATGAATGCAGAGGAGATAATGAAATGCACTGTGTTTTAAACAGCTGACGTTTGCACTAGAACAGCTGTCGTTTGTGTTGCATATTCATAAACATTTATGGGCTGAATTTATTGAATGCTAATTTATTGACACTATTTATGATTTCAGTTTCACTTTGCACGACATTAACCTCTTATTCACCAGGGTATATTTTGGTTTGCATGACCAAATCGTAAAGCAACTGCATGAAATAAATGTAAATTTTTATTTTATTTATTTATTTTTTGTACAAATTTCCCTCAAATTAACAGAACGTGTTTTATGATCATACACATATTGCTATATACTTACAATTTACTGCTGAAAGCTAAAAATCTTAGACGCTCTTTGTATTGTTTTATAAAAATAATGTTTACAGAGCAGATCACTGAAGAGACGCCATCTGTTTATAGTTTATAGCCCAGATTTGTGGAAAAAATGGGTCAAATTTCAGTAGAAAAAAAATTGTGAGTTCAGCTTCTTTTATTATAAGGGTTTAAAATTACATTATTCATCTATTTGACTGGAAAGAAGACAGTTACAGCTCTCATACGACCCCCACCTTTAGAATGTAGCTTATGAAATATGAAAGTTATGAAGAATATGACGAAGTGCGTTTTGGAACCACTGGTGGTCTCAAGGAGTTGAAAAGGTTAAAATACTATCTGTACCCAATTCACTTCAGTTTCACTTTATTTATATTTTGTTATATACAACAGATATTGTCCTAAAGCTCACCACAAACCATGAGCGACGTTTTGATGAAAACAGCAGATTCAATTTTAACCATTCCTGACATTTTATTTAGCTTTAATCTCTGTTTAATGCAAGTTTTTAGGCAGAATATGAAGTTCAAATTTCAGTTGTTTAGTTTTGCACTGTAGCTAACAAGCAATGGAAGCTCATACCCCACCAATTAGCATGGTGCTAACTCATCACACTTCTCAAATCATGCACTCAGTAACACATTTTGTACGATGCTAATTGCTGGGATTTAAGCTTCCACATTTGCTACATTAGCATACATTCCTTTATGAGCTGTCTATGCTGGTTTTATGCTGGTCCAGTGCTGGTCTGGTACTGGTTTATCTGGTTACCCAGCACAGTCACGCTGATTGACCAGCATGCAGGTATTCAGAACCATAATATTGCTACTGACCGGACATGCTGGTCTATTCTCTCTCTATGCTGTTTATTCTAGCAGGGTAGCCTATATTCAATTACTCATTAGCTACATTAGCCTGCATTAGCCTACATTACAATATCTTTAGCCACATTAGCCTATATTCAATTTCTCATTAGCTACATTAGGCTATATTTTATTACTTGTTATCTACATTACCCTACATTAGCCTGCATTGAATGACCTGTTAGCTACATTAGCCTGCATTAGCCTACATCCATGTACTTGTTAGCCACATTAGCCTAAATTAGTCTACATTGAGTCACTTGTTAGCTCCAATAGCCTACAAGTTTCCACACTTTAGTGTACATTCTGCTACTTTTAGCTACATTAGCCTACATTCCTTTATGAGTTAGCTAGACCAGCTGTCTAACATAAGAGCACGGTATTCCGTACACTTCAGCGTTCCGTACACTTGCAACTTTTCCTGTCTGTGTAATAAAAACCACTTTCTTGACATTCGTGAATGATACATCTGAGACATTGTCATATATCCTGTTTTCCATCATATCGGTTGGCAAGACCATCTAAGCTGGGTTTGGACATCAAATCTATGTAAATAGTGACCGTCACCCAGCAAGACCCGAAAATGGCGGGTGGGGAAACTTTCACAGCCAGTTAAAATGCATTTTAGCACGTTTAAACATCACATTTAACACTAAAACGAATATTAAACAATGGATCATCACCATGAAACACAGTGTGTTCAGTACTGAGCTGTTAATCTAAGCAGACTCCTTTCAGCTGCGCAGCTTCACAGCACTGCCTCACTTTACTGGGCTTCTTTCCATGGTAGCCTCATTCACTGCACATACTGTTTATATTAACTCACTTATATAATCAGTATAATCAGTTAATGTCTAATTTTATGTAATTAGATTTCATAAAACTACGGAATACTGACAAACCGATTACACAGATGACACTTTATTCTTATTTCTTTAAAAGTATTGGCCCAAATGTGACCAATCAAAATGCATCTTGGTTGCTAGGCAGATTTTGCAGAGTCCAACCAATCATTAAATCGTGTATGACTTTGGCTATTTCCGCAATAACTACTGAAACGCGAAAAGTGCCGAAGTACTGTACGTTACGCTGGTTTCGTGCTGGTCTGGTGCTGGTTTATCTGGTTACATAACATATGTTGGTTTTGCTGGTGACTAGGTTTGCTGGTCTGTGCTGGTTTATTTCCAGCAGGGAGCCCATATTTAATAACTCATTCGCTACATTAGCCTACAGTCAATGACTTGTTAGCCAAATTAGCCTACATTAGCGTACATTCTTTTAACTTATATTTATTAAGGTTTTGTACAATCGAATCAGATTACATCCGAACGTCTCACCCCTTCTCCAAACCTCCTGCCATCTCAGAATGCAAAAAGTCTGATCAGCACTTTTTGGCATGTGAGCTACATTAATCTATATGTTAGCATACATTAGTTGTTGTTACATCAGTTGTTAGCTACATTAGACAACATGGCTTTACTTCCTGCCTACAGTAGCCTACTTCCTTTTATGTGTTAGCTACATTAACCTACACCAGCCTGCGTTAGCCTATGTTCCATTGATTGTTAGCTATATTAGCCTATATTAGCCCATTAGCCTACATTCCAGTACTTGTTAGCTACATTAGCCTGCATTGGCCTGCATTAGCCTCATAGATATACATGCCTGGATGCTGTGTTGTCTGTTGTTCTCTGTCTGAGGCGATAAGTCTGCACGTCCGCCATGTTGGAGAGGTCAAGATCCGCTTGTGAACAAATTCACTTGTATTGAGAGACGATGAGTCTCAGGATTAAATCAGCCACAACTTCCTTACTATTCAACCGATTTTCACCAAATTTGTTTTGTTATAATCCTCAGATACAGATTAATCCAGGCTGCACGGATCTGCTCTCGGTAGCTTTTACTTCTTTAATAACTGATCGTGATAATTAGCCGTCCAGACCAG